CTCAGGCCGTTCCTTGTATTTGAATTAGGTAGGAATCTTAACAATTTAATGTCCTTAACTCGAAACATTTCTAATGAAGGAAAAAAAATTAGAAAAGGATCCCTTCTCTACTTTAGATAGTGCCTCAGAGATCTATAATTCCTTGGCTCTTATGGGTTCAGTCTCTACTAAGAGCCTCAATCTTTGATGTTTTCTTGATATTTGTAATCATATCCTAAGAAATTTGTTGATTATCGTGTTGAGACTTTAGACCTCGTGTTCACTTCCACATTGTATGCTATCTTTGTACTTGGGTCATCAAGGACTCTAAAATTGAACCGCACGTTTCTTCATTTTGATCGATCCCCACTGATCAATGAAACCTGCCAAGTCACAATCACAGCTGCAATCGATTCTAGAATGCTTCTACATCGATGATTCACCTCAATCATTGCCTATTTAAAGGATGCATGCAGTCAGTCTCATTCCTTTGCTATCACAAGGTGACTGCATCTTGTCTCTCCTTTTGAAATACTGAAAAACTATGTTGGTAATGTAGAGATCATTATCATGGCACGCGTTTTCCATAACTATTAGGCATATTACCTTTTGTAAATTGTCATATCTATTTAAAATAAAGAGTCTATAGAAGCAGGATCTTTGACTGTTGGAAACGGCAGCGTATTATATGCAGAATTTGTAACATCGTATGTAAAATCAAAATCTTCCACTTTCTTAAAAAGATATTCAGGTCTGTGTTATAAACGTTTTAACTTTACTTTGATTTACTTTCAAATTTTACGAGGAAAGGTCAAATTTTCGAAATAACGACTTGAGTAAAATTTGATCGTTTGTTTAGGTGAAGCAGAATCACATTAAATCGTATTAATAAATCATACAACCGTTCGAATTCCTTAGATGGACTTCACGGTCAAATCAAAATTTTTTGTTCCAGGATCGGGAAAGGTAAGCGTCTCGATTTTTAGTCTCGATTGAACACTTTTCCATTTTTAAAATATAATCAGAGAAAAACAAAAGATGTATACTGCGCTTTTTCCAATCAAAAAATGCTACTTAGAACTTCAAGATTTAGGGCGCAGCTAGACTGGGAATTCAGTCGTTGATGCAGGCAAATATCAAGTTACGCTTATGCGGTACAATGAACTCATGCCGAACGCCGCTCCGGATAGCCATTCGCACCTCTTTTTGTAAGGTGACTAAAGGTGTACACAACTCGTACTGTTCACCTTTCGCACTGAATTTAGAATTAGTTGACTTATATGAACTGCAGTTGGGTACGCCCTTTCTTCCTTAAATTTCCTGTTCACTCTGTTGTCATCTAACAAACTTTAAGGGCTATTTTCCATTTAGTTATCTTTCTAAGTGTAAATCTAATTTACGCAATGAGTCCTTTGTAATTTTTATATCACCAATCTTGTTTTTGTTTTGCCCGAGTTTAACCGCAAAAGTATGAAATTTTGGGTGGAAAGGCGTTTTGGAAAGAGTCAATAAGCCGAAGGTACATACTTAGTATGCGGGAACTGTTCCACGTAACGCGGCATAATTACCATAAAATCATTTGGTGCTCCGGCCACGCAATACGTTCGTCCCCTCTTCTTGATTTCTCCTTTCTTCTCCATAGTTGCCGACGTGTCTTCACAGTTTTCTAGGAGAACTCGCTAAGCGCTTAGTTCGATTATTTCAAATCTTAAATACAGCTATTACCAGAAAACGCGAAAATAAATTTCGCGTCATAGGCACTTTAAATTATTATTATATTACTATTGTTATTGTTATTATCATCCTAAAATTTTTTTTTCACAATTTAATTATTTTTTGAATGTCAATTAGACAATATATTATTGAATCATCCTTCTTTTGTGGGACGGGGTACTCATAAGTATGTGTGATGCGGCAGGTTTTCTGTTGCACAACCTCTATTCAACAACATTTGAAGTGCTATCAGCGCAAAAACAATGGCGGCAGGTTATGGCGGCATAATAGGGCTCGGTTGCTATGGCTATTAACTGGATAAATAAGAACGTAATAAGACCTTCATACTGCATTGGCTGGATACGTTTACTTACTATTTCTGTTATACAACCTCTATTTCTGTTCGTTAAAAATTGTGCCATACACATGCAGTAAAATTACTGCATAAGTGTTTAAAATGTGGTGTTGTTTTTGTTTTGAGAAAACATTTGACCCCTACGATCATTTTGCGTCGAACAGCTTGAGATCATCTTAGCACCAAATTCAGTGCTACTATACGGGTCTTTTCCTTACTGAATACAACTACAACTGCGTAATTTTTAATTGAAGAGTTAATTCTCGCTCTTTGCCGCAAAAGATTCCTTGCCGATCTCATACGAGGGTGTCTATGTGAGTGCACGCGATTAGGAAGTGATATTCGAAAATCAATGTCAGTGCTTGTTGCTAAGTCATGAACAGAGTTGCAATCGATTCCAGAATATGCAGAATATGCTTTTGCATCGATGATGAGAGAGCATTATCATGGCACGCGTCTTCCACATCTATCAGGCATATTGTCTTTTGTCATTTTTCATATCTATTTAACATAAAGAGTCTATAAAAGCAGGATCTTTAAATGTCGGAAACTGCAGCGTAATGTATATAATTGCGTTGTATATAAAATCAAAATATTTCACTTTCAAAAAAAGCTGTTCAGTACTATGTTTTAAACGTGTCAACTTTATTCGAAAAACTTTAAATCCAGTTTACGTGGTATTATGAGGGTTCGGTTGCTATGGCATATCAACTAGGGCAATCAGAACGTAGTAAGACCTTCATACTCCATTGGCTGGATATGTTTACTTTATTTTCCAAAGTATGAAAGCTCTTATTGTAAGTTATTTGTGCTGGAACTTTGCTCCACGGCAGAACTTTTCACGCATCTAGCGTAGTGATCATGAACGTAAATCATGTAGCCTCGAAGCATATCCATTCCAAATGGATCAGTTTTCTATCATACAGCATTTTAATCAAAAGTACATTAAATGTCTCCCGACACATGAAAAAGTTTTTTCAAAAGGTTAACGCCGCCAAGTATCATCGAGCTACGTAAACACATAGACCCCAAAGTTAACTACAGCAACTCTTTAGAAACTGATTTTACTACTGAACAACATTCCCAAAAAGCCTTGATCACCAAGCTTAGGGGGAAACCAGTAATATTTGGCAGTTCCCCACACAGGATCGGGTAAGCTGATCGACTAAACGTGAATATTCTGATATGTTGAACATTGTAATATCTGACATCATAATTAGTAAAAGAGAAAGTTGAATTTGCCACACGAGGCACGTCTGTGTAAGTCCGTTTCTGAAAAACAATTCGCGTGCACATAATTATATCAAATCGTATTTAGCATTATTTACTCTGCGTGGAATCTTTCTTTAGTCCATTTTGTTATGAAAGAGCTTGAGATCATCCGAAGTCAAAATTCAGTGCTGCTATAAGGGCTTTTGCCTAATACAGTAAATGCATGATTATTAAGACAAGAATTAAGAGAATTGTGGATTCTTACTCTTCGAAGTCAAACTGCTGGCAGTAGATGCTCTGTCGATCTCATACAAGCGTGCTTTGATATTTGGGTCTATTTGAATGAATGCTTTTAGGAAATGATATTCGAATACATGATCATACCCCCTTTTTGCCCTCTTCAGAATTCTTAAATTCGACCTGTTCACCGAACGAAATGAATCGATGACTCTCTGTAATCATTCTATAGTGCCTGTATACTTGGAAAGAAATGTTGTTAGAAGACAAAACTAGCATCAAGCAAGACTTTTCCGCAGATGTTTTTTAAAACTTATTTAAGTGTTGGAAAGGGAATGTAAATAGCATACCAGCATAAGCCATTCAGTTAAAAAAAACCCAAAACCCTAACCCGAAGCAATATTATAAGCTAGTTGATCATTTCATATTTCTTTGGCGGTCTTACTTTGTAAGTAGAGTAGATAATTCTAAGTTTTTTATTTAGCACGTTCAACACCCCTATTTTTAAGGTGACTAAAGGTGTAAATAACCTGTACTATTCACCTTCCGAAGTGAATTTAGAATTAGTTGACTTATTTGAACGGCATTTGGGTACGCCCTTTCTTCCTCGAATTACAGTTGTCATGTAACAAACTTCAAGGGCTATTTTCTCTTTACTCATCTTTCTAAGTGTGATTCTAATTTACGCAATGGGTCCTTTATAATCTTTTATATTACCAATCTTGTTTTTGTTTTGGCCGACCTTAACCGCAGAAGTATGAAATTTTTAGGTAGAGGGTCGTTTGGGAAGAACAAACAAACCCAAGGTACATACTTAGTATGCGGGAACTCCTTCACGAATCTCGGTATGATTCACTGGCTAAGTGACAAATAATGACGTTGGTCAAATATTGACAGTTGTCACCTTTATAAGTCGGAGACCAACGCCTTCCTTGAGATAGTAGAATTAGTCCGTATTGTCTTGAAAACTAGACGATATATATTTATATGTATATATTTTTTGTGGCGATTGCCTCCTACAGGAGGCGAAGCTACATATGTTGTTGAGATGAGTGAGTGAGTGTGACCGTAGGATTCCGATTTTGCCCAATTTTGAGCCGATGTTTCCCAGTGCTACTTACTGTTAATTTCGGAGTATCTTAGTAGTTCGACATTCGCACTCGATACACAGTTGACTTCATTCTTGTCTTGCCAATACGGAAGACAGCAGAAGACGATAAACATCCAACGATCATGTCAGGATTGCACGCGCAAAGAAACAAAATTTGTCCTGTGATAGCCGGATCATGAAACTCGAAAAAAATTCTTTTCTTCGAAGAGGGAGCATTTTACGGTTTAAATCCCCAATTATGTAGATCCAAATAAATAATCCTTTCAGTTTTTGCCGTGACACTACAAAAGACGATAAACATCTCAAAATAATTTATCAGTGGCATCCACCGACGCATAATTTAAGTAAAAAAACTTTTCCTCGCAGAAATATATCAGTAGAAGTGATCTCATCATGGAAGCTTTGAGGAAATTTGCTTTCTTTAAAAAGAGGCCAATTTATTGTCTGATTGCGAATGAAGATATAGCCATTGTGTTTGTGGGACGTACAAGCAGTGGCAAATCATCCTTGATAAATGCATTACTTCAAGACAGCCGTCTTCCCGTTAAAAAAGTTCAGACAACGATGTGCAAAATTCAGGTTCGCCCTACGGCTAATGAAGAGTGGAGTGTTGTTAAAGTTGGTTGTGAAAAGCCACTGTCTGACCAAATGAGCGAAAAGGACGTAAAGGCCCTCTTGAGTAAGATGTCTGGTAAGTCAAACGCTGCAGAAAGGGAGAAGCTCAACATCGACTCTCACAGTGTCATACAAGTGAATTGGCCTCGCCACCTCTGCACTCTACCAGAAAATATCGTTTTGATAGATACACACGGTTCTAGTGAGAGCACCGAAGGCAACAAAGTTGTCCACGACTCCTACAAGGAGGCAGATATACTCGTTGGTGTGATGGATTTTAAGTCACCTTCCATACATTGTGTAAGGAAATGTATACGTTACTTTATTATCGCTCCTGGTATGCGGGGGGCACCATTCAAATTAATCATGAAGCTTTCCTGAACAACCTTGCATCGATCCTGTGAATCGTTTTTAAGAACTTAATTGGACGAAGAAGAGAAGTATTTTCTCACTCATTAGCGATTATAGGTCAAAAGAAATTTTTGAAGTGAAGGCCGAGCACATTACCTTATAGTCGCCGCTGTTTAATTAACGACCCTACCAGGTTGATGCACCTAGTAATTATAAGTTCTCAGCTGGTCATTCGCTGTTGAGTCATTAACAGCTTTCTTTTCAATTAAAGAAAAAGATAATAAAAATAAGTAGACGAATTATTAATTTGACAAACACTGTCAAAAAACAAATCAAATTAAAAAAAGGGCAGAATGTGGGAAACAAACCCAACATACCAAAGTTTAAATAAATGTATTAACAGTTAAAACAAATTTGTCATCTTTATTGTATGTCGCTTTTTAGATTGCAGGTCTGCTAAACAATGTGAATTGCCAGTTCAAATTTGGCTTCTTTACAAAATGGGAAGAAGAAGAGGAGGAAATAGAAACAACAGTCAAAGCAGGCGAGTGGCAACAAATACGAGAGGGCTACGAAGAGGATTTTCGGAGTCTCGTGAGTGGCAAATGCGAGATTTATTTCGTTGGTGCAAAGCATTTTATCAAAGCAGAGGTGAGGTTTGTGCGAATCCTATTCTCGCAATCTGATTGGTTACCTGAACCCTGGAAGCGAGATAAATTGAGGTATTGGAGAGTCCTGTAGCGAGAAGAAAGATTTGCACGTTTTTAAGTAACAAAACCATATTGGAGAAGGAAATGACATACGAGGAGCGAAAGAGTTCGCATGGTGCAAAAAACCGATTTACAATTTATAAATACACAAATAAAAAAAATAGATTCCGCGTTGCCGGGCTTCAGTTAACTAATTGATCACTTGGGACATCAAAATGTAGCAAAAACACAAAATTGGCACCTGAGGCGTAGGTTGCAGTCATCTGGGAACAGGCAGGAGCCCTCTTTCGAAATAATTTTCGTTTACTACATAAATTTTTAGTGGTTAACTTCTTGTAAATTGGGCGCACGATTCTGTTCGGTTTTTGAGTTCCACCACGTCGTCTGACCTGCTTAGTAAGCTGCCTGTTGTTAGCGTTCATGGCAAAACGAGAGGCCCTTAAAATTTTTCAACAATGTTACTCCAAATGCGCAGTAGCCAAAATAACATCACAGCGAAGATATCCAAAAGTTTGAAGATCTATAAGAATGAAAGTAGAATGTTTATTACCTAAGACTTTGGATGTAAGGTTAAAGATGGGTTGAGATTGTTGTGGCCATAAAAAAGACTTAACTCTCTTTGAGGTCAATTGCGGAGAATAAACTATCGCCTTGGCGCTCATTCAACTAAACAAGGTTTATGTGTTCCACGCCGAAATTCACAATAAAACGAAGTGAGATTTACTTCGTTCCAAACCGGGCTTTGTCTGGTGTTGTCGGCGTGCCCTGAAAGATGGGGTTTTTACTAGAACAATGAAACTTAGAGCAAAGACAACAATAATACTACCACCACCCCCATCAACCCGACCGCCACCCCCATAGGCACCGCCACCATGTATGTTACTGCTATTGCTTAGTACTGTTATTGCTACTGCTATTACTTAGTACTGTTATTGCTACTGCTTAGTACTGTTATTGCTACTGCTATTGCTTAGTACTGTTATTGCTACTGCTATTGCTTAGTACTGTTATTGCTACTGCTATTGCTTAGTACTGTTATTGCTACTGCTATTGCTTAGTGCTGTTATTCCTACTGCTATTGCTACTACTACTGCTACTGGCACTACCACTTGTACCATTTTTATTACTTATATTTGTACAAAAACTCATTAAAATATCTTGAGACAAGATGGTTTCCATTTTTTTTTTCCTATGATCGTTGCTGCAGCGGCAAAGCCAGAAGCTGCTGGCGCTGTTGCTACTACTGCTGGTACTGCTGCTGCTGCTGTTCCCATGTTACTGGAAAAACTTTCAGGATTTGAAATTGGACAAACGATAAGGAGACGTTTCGGGCCCAGTAGGTTGAAGGTCAACAGCATAAAACAATTAGCATTTGAAAATTTGATAGGAATTAGAACACAATGTGAAAAATGCAAAGTATCGCTATCTGAGGGAATGGACATGATCGCCAAGAGTTTATCAGAGATAAAAAAAGAAAACGATCGTTTGTCGGGTAAAAAGTCAAGACTGAGTAAGGAATTAAATCAACTAAAGGAGTGGTCGAAGAAACTAAATGAAAGCACAAAGCGTTTGCAGGAGGTCCAAAATGAGTTAAACAAGCTGAAGCCTGGGTAGGTATTGCCATCAAGAATATTCCGCAGTGTCAAGCTTTGTTAGATCACAAAGTTAGGATAAATAGATAGTTAAAGGCATCTAAAGTCCAAACAATCGTAAGTGCAGTTGTCTTGTATCTTCTGTATTGTTGATAGATTTAACTTCCCATGAGTCCTAGTTCCTTTTGCTCACATATCTTGAAAAACGAGATCATCCGATAAAAAAAAGTTACCAAATGTCAGAAAATTTCTGGTACCCGGAACGGGGATGGTACGTTAGCGAGAGCGATCGCCTCCCACCAGTGTGGTCCGGGTTCGATTCCCAAACCTGGAAAACAACGTGTGGGTTGAGTTTGGTGTTGGTTCTCTTCCTTGCTCCGAAGGTTTTTCTCCAGGTCCTCCAGTTTTCCTCCCCCCACAGAAACCAACAATGTAAATATCATTCGACTTTGGAACAGTGGAAAAGAAGAGCCACCTCGTGGACATCCACTGCTAAATTCCTATTATTAGCATCATCGGTATCATAATGATAATAATAATAGTAATAGTAATAATAATATAATAATAATTATTACTATTATTATTATTACGCATGGCAGTTAAAGAAGTGATACCATCTACGCGTTGCATTAAGAGTACTCTCGGTTTTATCGACAGCTTTAGGGAAATTGTTACTTTCATCAGCTAAAGCGTCCTATAATTGTTGTTGGACAACAAAATTGTTGTTTTTGTCTTTTAATACGATGATTCATTACCAAAGAGAATAATTGTGATACGATTATTGACATTCGTAGTACTCTTTGTCTCTATAAGTTTTAACTTTTCAGTAAGATATAGATACATGCATGCTTGATCTCAGTCACTGTTTTAATGTTTTAAAGTTAATATCTTGGTTACTGCTTGCTCGTTCAAGACCGAACGTTCTGAGGAAAATGTAAGTGTCAATTATGTTCTACAGGTTGAGAGGCAAAACCACAGTTCCTGTGGATGACCAGACAGAAAATCAGTCACCCGTTCAACCAGAAGACCAAGAACACTAATCAAGAAGGAGAAGTTTTAGTTACCCAGTACCAAATAGGTGTTGAATTACAGCAAACATATGAGATTAAGGATTTACAACCTCCAGTCAAGGAGGCAGTGTGGCCGAATAGTTAGGGCTCTGGACTTGTAGTTTGTTAGTCCCAGGTTCAAGTTCTCAACCCTGCTGCTCACAGGATTTGTTCTCGGTTGCACTTTGTATATATCCAACATAGTGATTAAAATCACTATGTTTATTTGCAATGTTAATGTACAATTTGTGTCAATGGATAAGAAGAGCCATTTCGTAGACTATCCAATGCAAAGTCCCATTATCTTTTATTATTATTATTTTTAAATATTGTTACGGGAAAATTCATTGATTTTCCCGTGTGTGTTATTCGAAACATATTTATTCGTAAACTTTCACATTTAACCATTTCAAGTCCTTTCATTCTAATAAATCAAAAAATGCATAAAAACCACAGTAGCTTTTAGAATAGATTTTTGTTGTTACTCGCTTTCATCACATGCACCTGCTTGTCGGCACTTTTGTTATTTATTACATGGTTTTTTTAAGTAAATATAAGTGTTGATGGTCTTTCTGGAAACATTGGTTTTCATGGTAGATAGCAGCTGAGTTTATACTCGTAAATTTAATTTCTTTTCATGCGATGGTTTCCAAACCAATCTTGCATAGATAAGCAGAAACTTTTAATTGCTTTTCCCTTTTTTATTTCCTAAGCTGCGCTGCTGCAACTAAGATAGGTATTGTTTTCTATATCAGAGCTGTAAATTCGCACCTAAGTGTCCTTCGTTAATGGCCTAGGGTTTATTGCATCCGTCTTTTTAATTTTGAGATTCTTTCCGTCGTAGAAACAGATGGAATATTTAAGTAGTTTTCATTTAACTTCAAAGAGACTTTTTTCCGCTCCTTTGTGCCCTTATTCAAATATTGCGATTTGTGTAACAATAGCACTTCACACCAGTTACTTCTTAAGCAAGTACCTTGTACAGCTTTGATGATTACAAACTAGAGTATGCTAGAGGTCATGTCGCTTGTTGGCCTGAACTAGAATAAAAGTACTGTGGAACCCAAGATTGTCTTATCCTTGACGTCCGTATAAGCTCGCTCGAAGTAGATCTCCGTGTACCAGGAAATCGTGACGAGTTTCCGTTCTTGCTGCCAAGTCGTCTCTACAAAGTTATTTCCCCCAGTTGTTATTGTGCCGTCTGCGAAGATTCAGTTTTCCAGTTAGCGAGCGAAAACCTATCGTTACAATATACAGGTTCCATATTGATCTAGAGCGGAATCATCCAATCATCAAGAGACCTCTATCTGCGTGGCCTAACAAAGCCATTAAAACTCTATTATTGTACCTTTGTACATGATAAAAGTCGAATATTAAAATGTTAAAAAAAGTAAGCAATACAACATACAATTTAAGTCATATCACTTTATTTTATGATCAGATACAAAAACTGAATGAAAAATATCATTAATTTAATAAAATTGAAGTTTGTTATACAGCAAATAAGCAATCTACTCTAGCCAAAATATATTAACTAGTCACAATTTCAGTCCTTTGACCTATTTTAAAATATCTGTATACGTGATAAATTGAGAGCAAATATATCATTTAAATCTTGCATTGTCTTGCAAAAGACTACAGGGAAATTAATGCTCAACCTTCAAATGAAAACTCTAAACCGTTCACTATTCAGAGGAAAACTAAATTAACAGTATCACAGATTTTAATTAATATCTCCACCAATGTTTACAGTATGTTATAATGCTACATGTGTATCTCAATAAGAGGGCCAATATAAGCCTCCAGGAAAAATAATCCTCTCTCTCTGTCAGCTGCAACTGTTTCCAGATTAAAAAAAATCAAACCGTGCAATGTTGCCTAATAAGTCACAAACCAATGGAAGGGATAATGAACTGCAGACCCAATCTACAAAGCTATTGTGAGGGCGCCTTCTGGTTTTGGTCCGGTTCTACATTGAAAACAACGACGGAATCCAAGAAATCTGAAATAATTTACTGATTTTTATCGAATTGTAATTCAACCGAAGTGAATTATGCTTCGTATCAATTTTCGCAAAAACAAAATTGGCCTAAAATGTGCTATTATCAAATGTTTGTGGGTTCTACATCTCCATCGAGGACTGAAAACATATAACTCATAAATAAGAGATAGACTTAGAGATGACGATTCGATAAGCGTTGGGTAAAATTGTATTTATATCGGTGAGATCGCAAACTTGTGCCTGGCAAACAAAGACATGCTCGCTCAGACAATTGATCGTTACCTAATCGCCCTATATTTATCGCTATCCAATCGCTCTGACGAAGGGCGAACGCTCGAAACGTCTGCCTTTAAACTCTAACGGTGGCCAATTTACGTTATCAACTCAGTTGATAACACTAAATTACATTTATCGTTACGATACATTACGACTGAAGTTCGCGTTACCTGTCACACTTGCATAGTCCTGAGGTAAGTACTAAAACAAGGAACGACCTAAAACCACCTAAAACCACCTACAACCACCTACAACCACCTCAAAAATTTCAACAACCACCTACAACCACCTCAAAAACATCTACAACCACTCGCAAACTATCTAAAACCATCTAAAACAAGGCGTAAATGTCTAAAATAAGGCGAAACAAAAATACGAGAATCGAACGAAACCTCTACCTCCCCCTGAAATCTTACTCTCCCTGGTCCCATGTATAATCAACCATCTCACGAAATGAAATGCGATAGCATGCTAATTATTTTACATTCCCTCAGCAAAAGACTTAAAGAACTTTACAAAATGAACTAACAAGTTACAAAAAATAATAAATAGGGAATAATACATGGGCGCGCGTAGATATGGAATTAATCTTCGAGTGTTTAACTCGATAGCTCACGAGTGAGCGCAGTGAACGAGTGAGATGTCGAGTTGAACACGAGAAGAGAAATTCCATATCTACAAGCAACCATGTATTATTTTGTTTATCATATAAACACAATAGCCCTTTTCTGGGAAGAAAATCCGACCTCATTAATGAATGCAAATAAATGAATCGACAATCCTCGAATAACAATCGTAGAGTGCGTTGGCGCTGACTCTTAAGATGGAAAATGCTTTGAATTATGATTACAAAAACTTTCATATATACGCGCGCCTATGTATGATTCCCAATGTATTATTTTTTGTAACATGTTACTTCATTTTGTAAAGTTCTTTAATTTTTTTGCTAAGGGAATATAAAATAATTAGCATGCTATCGCATTTCATTTCGTGAGATGGTTGATTATACATGGGACCAGGGAGAGTAAGATTTCAGGGGGAGGTAGAGGTTTCGTTCGATTCTCGTATTTCGTGTACGTGACATGTCGTTTCGCCTTATTTTAGACATTTATGCCTTGTTTTAGATGGTTTTAGATGGTTTGCGAGTGGTTGTAGATGTTTTTGAGGTGGTTGTAGGTGGTTGTTGAAATTTTTGAGGTGGTTTAATTTTTTAGGTGGTTTTAGGTCGTTCCTTGTTTTAGTACTTACGATACTTCTGACCTCTTGTCAACCTTGAAATTTGAAAAGTTATCGACACTGAATTGACTGCTTGTGATACTTTGTATTCAGGTGATTTTAACTTTACCTTCAATTTCTAATTGACTCTCTAAATCCGGTATTATTTCTCCATAAATGAAAGATCCTGCATTCAAAGAATTGTTTGAGTTATCGAAGTCAACCCACTGATCTCCATTGAGATGTCTTTCCTCTGGTGGTGATTCCCGAATCGTAAAAATTATCATGGCTCGTAGAACTGGGATATGTTTCCGGTGTCCTCGCCATCATCGGTTGAAATACTTTTGTTCGACGGATACAAGTTAACTCCACTCAGAGTCTGACAGGAGCGCATAGCAAACAAAACTGAGTAAAGCCCAATTCTACGATTTATAGGACATTACGAGCAGATGTTGGCGGTTTGTAAAACAATAGGTTGAAGGGACTTTTGTCCCTCGTTGGTGAAATTGCACAGCTTACGAGTTCTAATCGAAATACTAACCCATTGCTCGCCGATTAGGTGTATAGTGCACACGAATGAGATTTCATATCTTTAACTAGGCCTTCCGTGAGCGCTGAGCCTGTGAAGGTCAATATCGGTGCTTTTCAAAACCGCCGACGTCGCGGCTCTAGTTTTATAATTAACCATAATTGAGTGCATGCCCAATGTGCAGCCAGTGTACTTATAGCCCGCCGGGACGAAGAAAAATAGATCTGTTTCCTTAGTATGGTTATAAAAAAAAAACCCTCAAATTTCTGAGCTTAAAAAGGTTTAGTGTGGACAAGGCCTTACAATTGCAAGGCATTTCGAACAGTTAACGAGCAGGAGAAAGATCAAGGAAGCTTTAAGTTGATTAGATTAGCACTCACGGGAAAATGTCATATTCTTAATTGATTTGAAGGTGTGAAAACCTCAGACAGAAATGTCGTTGTTTGCGACTTTCTCTTCGCCGCTCTTAATTGCGCCCTAAATTTTATTACAAGAGAGGCAATGATGACAAGACACGAGTTCGTGATTCATGGGTCGGTCGGCTTTGAAAATAGTTGGTCTTTGAACTAACTCACATCTCATTGCGTCCGTTAAATTCTTCATACGCCAGATGCCTCCGAAAGATAAGGGGAATGGGAGTATTGGAGGTATGGTGCATCAAAATAATACAATCAGGAGCTGCGCACCTTTACAGAACAGGAACAAGAGTTTACCATTTCTCCAAAAATAATCGGTGCGGACGTTTCGCAAAAGTCATCACATTCCTTTGCTGGACCCTGTGGAGAATTACTTTCTGAGAGGAAACTTAAGGTATGAATAAACTGGTGCATCACTAAGGGTTTATACGTGACGCGTGATGAAGGCCAAAGTTATAATGCGACGCGTGAATTTTACTGAAAAGTTAACGTTATACGTGAATTTACGAAATTCTATGAGGCCTGAAGTATACTTGAACCTAAATTTTTTTTT